CAAGGGAGTCTGCTGAGGCGACACAGGCTGTTGGAAACACAGGCTATTCTGTGAAGGGTCCTTGGTCCCATGCCCTGTGGGTGGACACCCTCCTTTGTAGGAGCTACCCTGGACAAGAATGAGAGGTAGAAGACACTGGCCTTTCCATTTCTACCCAAGGATTCTTCCACTCAGGGCCATTTACAGCTCTTTCTCCAGCCTCATCCCTCTCGGAACTTGGAGGCAGGGACAGGCTTTGCTCATTGGTTCCACATTTCCTCGAGCAATCTGGACTTCAGTGTTAATCCATTATTTCATTAAACACCCACTCATTGGCACAACTCTGGCCTAGGCTTAGCGTCAGACCCTGGAGATAAGAAGATGAAGGACATGGAGGTTCAGGCCATTTAGGAACGTCCAGGTCCTGCAGGGAGGGCAAAGAAGTGGATAGCCAAGCCCAGGAACCATGGGTGGCTGTCCTGCTGTCCGTTATGTGTGTTATGCCACCAAGGCTGGCATAGATGTTGGTCCCAGCAAAGCCAGCTGGGAAGGGAAAAGGGACAGTGGTGGGCTCTAAGAGTCAGCTTCCTTGAATCGTTCTTTGAGCTAAAATCAAAGCTGACAATTAGGACTCTCCTGCTACCAAGCTGTGGAACAAACTGTCCCAGGAGGCCTGGCTTTCCCCTCTCCTCACCCTGCAAGCAGCAGCAGCAGGTGTAACCGGGGGCAATGAGCAACTCCTCTCCAAAATCTCCTTAGTCACCCTGCGCTGGGTTTTTCACTTGCACCTGCTGCCTCCTTGACTAAAATCCAGATGTAGGCACAAGGACGGGAAATTCAGGCAGGCCCTTGGCATGGCCCAGGCACAGCCAACTGCAGTCAGAGGAGACTGTGGCAGAGGCCCCCAGTTGTGGTCTCCACGTTCACCATCCTCTCCCCGTGACTGAGTTCCACCTGAGGAGGGAGGTTCTCTTTCCAATGCCAGGGTTATCCTTAGGTTTATTAAAATATACTTTGGGCCAGGCGTGGTGGCTCACACCTGTAATCCCAATACTTTGGGAGGCTGAAGTGGGTGAATCATAAGGTCAATAAATCAAGACCATCCTTGTCAACATGGTGAAACCCCGTCTCTACTAAAAATACAAAAATTAGCTGGACATGGTGGCACGCACCTGTAGTCCCAGCCACTCAGGAGGTCGAGGCAGGAGAATCGCTTGAACCAGGGAGATGGAGGTTGCAGTGGGCTGAGATTGCACCATTGCACTCCAGCCTGGTGACAGAGTAAGACTCTGTCTCCAAAAAAAAAAAACTTTGCTGATGTTTCTCTCTACTCAAAAATGTTTTCTTAATTGGAATTTTAAAATTTGCAAAATAGAGCCTACTTGTTCTCCATTTATTCTGAAAGAAAACTATTGATAAAGAGTTTAATTTCCTCCCATACATTTCTGTTGCTGGATCCTCACTTGGTGGTTCTACTGAAGATAAAAATCTCATTACTGGAAGCAGATTCGCTCTGGGGCTGGACCTGCCTTGCTCTCTTCTTTCAGGTCATTGTGTGTTGCAGACAGACCCAGAGCTGGAGGGCATGTTTATCTTCCTTGGAGTGTTTCAGGAGGATTAGAAGACACCTTGTGCCCAGGAAGAAATGAGAGTGTGAAGACAACAGGGCAGGGACTTCAGGGGCTGCATCTGCCCCACGTGCCCCTGGCCCTATTTTTTGACTGTTTTGACAATCAGTTTCTTCACCTGCTAAGTGGGGGCAATTTGAGTGCCTGCCTCACAGGTGATTTTGACTACATGCGTGCAGCACATAGCACAGTAGATCTCTTTGGAAATATCAGCTACGCTAGTTATTATATGACTTGTTGACCTCAAATGTGAACAAAACCTAGAGACAAAGAAATGCTAAGGCCAGGGCTGGGCGTGGTGGCTCACGCCTTAATCCCAGCACTTTGGGAGACCGAAGCAGATGAATCACTGGAGGTCAGGAGTTCCAGACCAGCCTGGCCAACATGGTGAAACGCTGTCTCTACTAAAAACACAAAAATTAGCTGGGTATGGTGGTACATGCCTGTAATCCCAGATATTCAGGAGGCTGAGGCAGGAGAATCATTTGAACCTGGGGGGCAGAGGTTGCAGCGAGCCCAGATTGCACCACTGCATTCCAGACTGGGGACAGAGACAGACTCCATCTCAGGGAAAAAAAAAAAAAAGTCAAAGAATGGGAAGACCATATGTAATACTTCTCTGATCATCTCAAAGTCTAAAAAGTGCAAAAATCACTGCGCAATGAGGCAGAAAATCCCCCAGGCTTCCATGACCAAAGCCTCTCCACAGCCAGATGAGCCTTTCCCGCCCAGGGGTTTGCTTCTGCCTGGTTATTGGCATCCCCCATCCTGGGTAAGATCACCCAGCTGGATCATCTCCAAAGTCCCGCTGCTCCCCCGTGGTCTCCTGGCAGCAGCTTCTGCAGATGCAGAACCGCACTGTGTGACCCAAGAGGAATGCACTCACCTCCACAGTCCACCTTGAATGAATGAGTGAGCGACAGCCAGAGTGGATGGATCCTCAAAGTCCAGTCTACTCGGGAGGAAGGGTGGAGGGAAGTGAGAGATAAAACACTACAAATTGAGTACAGTGCGTACTGCTCAGGTGACAGGTGCTCTGAAATCTCAGAAATCGCCACTGAAGAACTTATCCATGTAACCAAAAACCACCTCCACCCCCAAAATGATTGAAATTTAAAAGAAAGAGTAGATCGGTCTTCTCTGCAACTTGGGACCCTCTGAGTGTAAAGGCCAAACAATGCTACTCCTTGTATCCTTAGCAGCATGTAAGTCATGCTCCTATTGTAAAGTGATGCACGCCATAAAACTGAGAAAACAAAACAAAAGAGGCGAGAGAGACTGAGGACAGGCCTGGCAGCTGGTGGAGGAGTGGGGCAGAACGAGAAGGGAGCTTGGGGAGAAAAGAGGCATGGGCAGGCCTGGAGGCCTCCCCTGACCCGTCAGACCCCCCAGTCCTCCCCGTGGGCCCAGCCTCCCTCGGGGCCCCATGGCTGCCAAGGGCCTGTTTCCTGCACTGGGAGCACAGCCGGGTGATGGCCAACCTCAGGTGTTCCCAGGAGAATTCACCTCATTTCACTCATCAGCTTCTCTTTGAGGTTGCAAAATTGGAAACACCCTGACCTGCCCAGCCTCTGTTCCCAGGCATCCTCATTGCTGAGTTATCTAAGAGTCCAGGGGAATGCAAACCACAGCCCCCATTTCTCCTTCCTTCCTGCTGCCTGCTGAAGACTGGAGGCATCTGGGTGAGGGCACATTGGCAGCTCAGCAGGAGGGCAGGGCACAGGGCCATGCAAGTGGTGGTGGTCTGTAACTCCTTCCAATCTCAAACATGTAGGTACCTTTCCCCATTTGCTCCTTCAGGTTCCAAGGGACCTGGAACCCTCCCAGGTGCTGGGAATAAAAAAGGCCAACAAAGTGAAAAGTGTCCCCTGCTCTCAGAGAGTTTCTATCCTGGTGAGAGAGATTGACAATAAATATGCTCTGTCAAATGGTGATGAGCGTTACAAGCAAAAGGGAAACTGAGAAAAAGGGAAAACATCTGGAAGGGTTTCCCTTCCTCCCCAGTAGACTGGACTTTGGGGATCTAGCCACTCTGGCTGTCGCTCACTCATTCATTCAAGGTTGACTGTGGAGGTGAGTGCATCCCTCTTGGGTCACACAGTGCGGTTCTGCATCTGCAGAAGCTGCTGCCAGGAGACCACGGGGGAGCAGCGGGGCTTTGGAGATGATCCAGCTGGCTGATCTTACCCAGGACGGGGGATGCCAATAACCAGGCAGAAGCAGAACCCCTAGGCAGGGAAGATTTAAGTAGTGAACAGGTGCTATCTGGGCAGGGACTTGAAGGAGGGAAGGGGGTGAGCCTGCAGACAGCTGGGCAGAGAGATATAAACAGTCATAGGAGACAGCAAGTGCAAAGGTCCTGAGGGAGGAAGGGGCCTGACCTTTTCAAGAAAAAGCCAAGAAGGCCTAAGTGGCTGGAGCAGAGGGAGTGAGGACGGAGGAGAGTGTGAAGTTCCAGAGGTGAATTAGAGATCAAATAATACAGGGACTTGCAGGATTTTGGCCTTTACTCTGGGTAAGCTGGAAAGCCACCCAACTGTTTTGGGAGTGTCGTCATCTAAAGAATGTTGAAAAGAATCCCACTGGCTGGTGTCCTGAGAATAGAGCAGGAGGGGCAATAACAGAAGAACCGAGAAGAGTTGGGAGGCCAGTGCCTGAGGATGCTGGCTTGGACCAAGGCGGGGGCAGGGGAGGGGGTGAAAAGTAGGTTAGTAGATGTGATTTTAAGAAAGCTGAAAGAGAGAGAAAGAAACTGTTTTCCTGTGGTGGTGAAAACTACAGAAAGAGCAGGTTTGGGGATAAAAACAGGACTTCCGCGTTGAGCAGACCCTGCCTAAAAACGTCTGGAATTTGGGGCAGGAACCAAGAATGGCCATTGTTTAATGGCAGTTAAAGCCACTGGCCATATAATTTCTTGTTCCCAATTTAAAGTGTGACTAGGGGCCTGGTGCGGTGACTCACGCCTGTAATCCCAGCACTTTGGGAAGCTGCGGTGGGAGGATTGCTTGAGGCCAGGAGTACAAGACCAGACGGGACAACTTAATGAGACCACGTTCTGCTAAAAAAAAAAAAAAATCAAACTTAGGTGGGCAAGGTGGCGCATGCCTATAGCCCTGGCTATTCGGGAGGCAGAGGCAGGAGGACCTCTGAGTTCAAGAGTTCAAAGCTGCAGTGAGCTATGAGCACACCGCTGCTCTCTAGCCTGGGCAACAGAGTGAGACCGTCTCTAAAACATGAAATGGCAGAAAGAAAATACTGGAGTGAAAATTCACAGGACCTGAGATCTGGGGGAGGCCCCTCTCTTAGGGCTGTTTTTTTATCCCCCTTTCTGTTTTAAAAAAACTTTTATCCATTTTTCTCTTTTTTTTCCTTTTTGATTCTAACAAAGTTCAATCTCCGTAGAGACTGTCGACAATTGCCAATGCTTCTATATTTCCAGTGGTCACGGCAGGGTATTGGGAAAAGTTTTCAATTAGCAATAATCACGCCTCAGATAAACCTCACTGGCTCCGATACTGTCACTGTGCAGAGCTTACCCATTTTGCTATGTCTGTTTTCCTCACTATAGCTTTTTGGAAATTTCTCTTTTGCTCTAGTAGGAATTGGAATGAACAGGATTCAAAGACAGAGCCAGCGTGGGTGACTGCATTTCTTCGCACAGATCCTATTCAGCCTGGATTTTTTGGTGGAAGTCTCAGAGGAAACAAGAAGTCATCTGAGGCTTCCTCTGGCTTATCTGAACCTTCCACATACTGGATTCAGATGACCCAGAAATTCCTTTCCTGAATCAGGAGCTTGGATTTCTTTACTCAGGTAACTCCCGCATTACGCAGCTGGCCCGTGAGTGGGCTCTGGCAGCTGAAAGAAGAGGAGGAACGTGTTGCTGGAGAAACCAGCAGCTGTACCAAAAGGTGTGACTCCAGCCCTCGGCTAGCCACTCACATGCACATGACCTTGGGCAGGTTATGTAAGATTTTATCTGTAATGACTGTGAAGTATGGGTAACGGGTCCTCATTATTCATGGATTCCGTATTTATGAACTCATCTGCTTGCTAACGTTTATTTGTAACCCCCAGATCAACACTAAGGGTGCTTTCCCGGTCATTTGCAGAGCAGTGAAACAAAAGAGCACCCTGAGGCCTGGGCCCACGTTCTGCCTCCTTGCTGCTCTCGTGGTGTAAACAAGGGGATTTTTCAGAGTATTCACTTAGTGCCACAAATTTTGAATTTTTTGTTTTCTGATGATTTTGCTGTTTACAAGAGCCCCTGGCTGGGTGTGGTGGCTCACAGCTGTAATCCTAGCAGTTTGGGAAGCCGAAGTGGTCAGATCACCTACGGTCAGGAGTCTGAGACCAGCCTGGCCAACATGGTGAAACCCCGTCTCTACTAAAAATGCAAAAATTAGCTGGGTGCGGTGGTGCATGCCTGTGATCCCAGCTACTTGGGAGGCTGAGGCAGGAGAATCACTTGAACCCAGGAAGCAGAGGTTGCAGTGAGCTGAGATGGCACCATTGCACTCCAAGTTGGGTGACAGAGCGAGACTCTGTCTCAAACAAACAAAAACAGTCTCCAAGCATAGCACTAAGATGCCAGGTGTTCCTTGGCTCAGGAAGGCCAGTATGTGCCTTATAGAGAAAGCACACATCCTAGATAAGCTTTGTCCAGTTGTGATTTATTGTGATTTACAGCTCTGCTGGCTGTGGTTTAATGCTAATGAATCAAAACTGTACATTAAATAAAGTATGTTTAAACAGAAACGCACATGAAACAAGGTTATATATTGATCAGTTCACAAAAATATTGCGACCAGAGGCTCCCAGGAACCTCACCTTGAAGCAAGGGGCTCTGTATGTGCTTATTCAGTGTTTGCAGCGGCTTTCTAGAACATGACTACCATGAACAATGAGAATAGCTGTGCTTGTTCTACCCAACTCAAAAGATTGTTGTAAACATCAGCTGAGGTAGTAAACACAAAACTGCCTTCTAAACCAGAAGAACAGAGGAACCACACTTGCCTGGCAATTTACAGCCAGAATACTTGGACGTTCATTGTCTCTGTTGATCTCCATCAAGCCCATGTAGTACAGGCTTGTTTATTTATTTAACAGCAATAAGTAAACATTTAACATTTATTGCTGTTAAATGTTTCAAACATAAGAAAATCAGAGCCAGGAGAAGTGAAGGGCCTCTTCCACAGTGGGCAGTGCGCATCTGCCCTGCTTGGGGCTCTGTTCTGGATGCAGTGGTGTGAGGAATGCCACAGTAAATGTGCTTATCTCTCGTGCTTCCTCACCTGAGCTTGGCCCTCATCTTCCTGAGCATCCACCTGCCAGGCTGGGAGGGTGATATGGTTTGACTTCACCCAAATCTCGAATTGTAGCTCCCATAATTCCCACATGTCGTGGGAGGGACCCAGCTGGGAGGTAGTTAAATCATGGGGATGGTTCTTTCCTGTGCTGTTCTCCTGATGGTGAGTAAGCCTCACAAGATCTGATGTTTCTTTCTCTTTCTTTCTTTTTTTGAGACAGAGACATTTGTCTCCAGGCTGGAGTACCATAGCATGATCTCAGCTCACTGCAAACTCCGCCTCCCTGGTTCAAGTGATTCTCCTGCCTCAGCCTCCCAAGTAGCTGGGACTACAGGTGTGCACCACCATGCCTGGCTAATTTTTGTATTTTTAGTAGAGATGGGGTTTCACTATGTTGGCCAGGATCTCTTGACCTTGTAATCTGTCTGTCTCAGCCTCCCAAAGTGCTGGGATTACAGGCATGAGCCGTCACACCCAGCCCAATCTGATGGTTTTATAAAGAGGAGTTTCCCTGCCCGAGTTCTCGCTCTCTTGCTTGCTGCCATGCAAGATGTGACTTTGCTCTTCATTCGCCTTCTGCCATGATTGTGAGGGCTCCCCAGCCATGTAGAACTGTGAGTCCACTCAACTTCTTTCCTTTGTAGATTACCGAGTCTTCATTAACAGCTCGAGAGTAGATTAATACAGAGGGTTTGAAATGGACAGCAGGAAAGCAGGGAGAAGCTTTCTGCTGTGTGCCTCCCGACTTTCCCTCTCTGGGCTTTGGCTATGGAGAAAATATTTCCGAGAAGTTAAGGGCTACTTAGAAGTTGTTGATCCTGCCCTCTGACTTATTTGGGGGCCTGGAGAGGCTAATATACCAGCCACTGCCACACCAGGCTAAGGGATGTCACAGGTAAGTCAGTGCGAGCCCAGGCGTCAGATGCAGGCTCTCAGGAATCATTTTACCAGGATGCCCGAGGTCCTGACATGGCCTCAGCAAGGCCCAAAAGTAGCTGAGACTCAGGCTGTGGGCCCTGCCAGAGACAGGCTCTATTTCTGGGCAGCAAAAAGCCAGTGCCAAGGGACCACAAACTAGGCTAAGTGGGAGTTTTGCAAGGTCTCTGGTATGTCTACCGCACTGAGTCAGTGACAGTCTTCAGTCCTGAAGGCCCACTGGCCAGAGTGACCCAAGGCAAAAGGAAGAGGCAGGGAAGAAGGAGACTGCCTGAGAGACCCAGCATTTTTATCAGAGACTGCACCCTGCCTCAGAGGGCCTGTCTCAGGGCCTCTCAAAGTTCCATGTGCGTGAAGGCCACCTGGAGGTCTTACAAAATGCAGATTTAGATTCAGTAGGTCCGCAGTGGGGCCTGCGACTGGCCAGCGCTCAGCTCAGGCTGGTGCACTGGGCTCAGACCACACTGAATAGCAAGGTTCTTTGTTACTGGATCAGATCACGCTTGAACTGAACTGGAATGCTAACAATTTCTTCTCTCTGTTAGGTAGTGGTGGAGACCAAGAGAGCTGGTCTACTCATAACAGAAATATTTGTCAGGGTTTTCCAGAGAAACAAAAACAATAAGATGAGGCTTATTATGAGAATTGGCTTATACAATCATGGAGGCTAAGAGTTGCCATGACATATGAACTGAGAGACCCAGGAAGGTCAATGGAGTAACTCAGACTGAGCCCAAAGGCTTCAGTTAGGAAGAAGGCAGGAGGACACTGACGTCCCAGCTCAAGGGGAGAGAGTGAAAATGTGCCTTCCTTCAGCTTTTTTGTTCCATTCAGGCCCTCAATGAATTGGACATTGGTGAGGGCGGAGCTTCTTCACTCAGTCCACCGATTCAAATGCTCATCTGCTTTGAAACCATTCTCACAGACACACCCAGAAATAAAGCTTTACCAGTTTTCTGGACATTCCTTAGCACGATCAAGTTGACAAATAAAATTAACCAGTACCTATCCACCTCTTATCAACCTAGCACCCATATGTTCCTCAAAACGTAATTAATCTCCAAATAAAGACAATAACAAGGTCATAATTTATCCTACAATGTTACAACTACCCTGCCTACAACTGAAACTCATTGATCCCTTCCCTGGAAGAGGAGGTAAAATTCTTGGGTAACTTTACTCTTTGGATATCCCGTAACTTCAATAATATGATGTAAAATTAACAGTACTTAAATACTGATAAAAAGTCAATACTTCTTATGTTACATGATAAGGGAGTAAGATGAAAGAAAATAAATATATTTATTTCATATAGGTATATAGACACACAAGCATATTGATAACAAAATAAGGAGGAATATTCATGAAAATTACAGTCCTTCTTTCTGAAAGCTGGTGTTTATAACTACTTTCTTTTACTGCCCATTTTGTATCCCTAAGCCTTCAGCAAACACTTCAACTGGTAATGATTCTTCATCTGGTGGAGTGACCCAAATATTCATTCATGAAGGATCTAGGCCATTTATAGTCCTGCTCGGGTTGGGTTGCTATAGTTTCTTCCATTGACCTTAATCACAGGTCATGATAACACTAAGAGACACACTAAGGGATCTCTTACATTCTACACATACTCTTTCTTATGTCCATGTTGAAGTAGCAGTCCAATTTCCTCTTGGCAGTCCAGATCAATCACCCCAGCCAGCATCGTGACTCCTCTCAGCCTGCTGACCCAGAGGCGTGAGGAGTCCAAAGTGGCTGAATGGCAGTCTTAATTTCCAGTTCAATGAACTTGTGTCTGCTGGTGGAAGCACTTCTCCCTCTGGAACAAAGACCTCCAGGCAAGCAGAGAGCATAGAGCCTTGGGAACAAGAAGCAAAAATCTTTGCTGGTGGGTCACTAGGGTTAATGGTCAGTGGTGACACTATCATTACCACCCCTTCATTCCCAGACTTGTGAATCCTGGCTGTGGGAGAAATAGAACCATATATTAGATGCTGATTCAGTGCATAGACAGCCATCTGGAGAACCATGCCCAGGCTCTGCAAGGTATTACCACCTACCTGGTACTGTAACTGAGTCTTTAAAAAAAATTATTTTTTTTTAGTATTTTTTAGCCAGTCAGCCCCCTGAAACAGAATAAGTTCAAAACAACTCCTAGTAGCTGAGTCTATAAAAGTCTGTTCCACTGTTCTATTAAGCCAGCTGCTTCAGGATGGTCAGACAGTGAATTCTTTGAACATGGGCCCTTTGTTATATCTCTATTGATGTGCGGTGAGTTCCTTAAATAG